CAATACTGTATACCATCACCATTATCCATCCAACTCCAGAACTTCATCACCCCAAACTGAAATTCTACTCATTAAACAATTACCCACCTAGTCTCCCCTGAGCCTGGTAACCACTATCCTATTTTGCCTCTATGAATATGCCTATTATAGGCAGCTCATATAAGTGAACTTATACATTTGTCATTTTGTGTCCGACATTTCTGTTAGCATAATGTTTTCAAAGTTCATCCATGTCAAAGCATACTTTACTTTTCATTTATGTTTACTGTTGCATAATATTCCAGTGTGTGATGATTTGTTTCTAGGTCTTCCTACAGTCACGTGCCACATAAGGACATTTTGGTACACAATGGACTGCATGTGGTCACCTAAGATTATAATGAAGCTGAAAAACTTCTGTCGCTTAACCCTGACCCAGTAGCTCAGTTAGAGCATACCCTGATATGCCAAGATAGTGTGGTTCAACCCCTGGTCAGGGCATATATAAGGTTCAACCAAAAAAAGTTTAAATTTAAAAAACAAACAAACAAACAAAAAAACCCTACTGCCTAGTGATACCAGGGCCTTTGTAAAGTTGTAGCACAACGCTTTACTCATGGCTTGCACCATAGTCTATTTAGCGATTTCAACCTTCTTCATCTCATAGCACACATAAGCTAATTACTAAAATTCTGCGGCACACCAAAAAAATGTTTTGATGTGACCAAAAAAAAAAAAAAAAAAGGTGTAATTCCGATTCATTCACACCGAGTGGCTATTATTGTCATTTTTTTTTATTATTTGACGATCTAAGGGAAAAGAGCTCAGTGCCCCTGACTAAATAGTCAGATACTGCATGTTTTAAAAATTCTTGCAGCACACCAGTTGAAAACCTCTGGTCTAGTTGATCAGTTCTGTAATGTATGCTTGCAAAAAACTCTATGTTCATTAGGTTAAGCTTGTTGGGTTTTTACAATCTTACATATCTAATCTGCCAGCTTGCCAACAAATAAGAGATGTAATGAAATCTCTCACTATATTGGTGTTTTGTCCATTTATCCTAGTATAGTTCTACCAATTCTGCTTCATCTATTTTAAGGATTTTTAAAATATATTTCTTTATTTTATTTCAGAGAGGAAGGGAGGGGGAGAGAGATAGAAACATCAATGATGAGAATCATTGATCAGCTCCTTCCTGCACACCCCCTACTGGGGATCAAGCCCACAATCCAGGCATATGCCCTTGGCCAGAACTGAACCTGGGACCCTTCAGTCTGCAGGCTGACGCTCTATCCACTGAGCCAAACCAGTGAGGGCTATTTTAAGGATTTTTAATCAGATATATATATATATATATATATATATGCTTTAAATTGCTTTATCTTCTTGGCAAATTATCAATATATAGTGATTATTACAAAATAATTTTCCCATCCCAATTAAGATACTTACTGCCTTAAAGTATATTTTATCTTATATTAGAATAGTCATGCCAACTTTCCTATAGTTAGTATTTCCAGATATGTATTTTATCAAATTTTTACTTTCAATTTTTTGCATGCCTTAAAATTTTTGTGTGTCCCTCATAAAAAGCATATATCTGAACTCTAGGTTTTTTAATCCAATTTGTCAAATAATATCTCTAACCATTTATTGTAATTGATATAAATGGATGTATTTAGCATTCCACTTTGTCCTTATGCTTACTTTAACATAAGCAGAAAGTGTTGTGCCATTAAAAAAGATACTGATTTAAGAGTCAGGGAAGTTCAGAGCAGGACAAATTATTGTTGACTATGAGGCAGAGGAGGAATGAGAGGGGATGGAGATAGGAGTGGAAGGATTTTCAAATGGGAGAATCCTGGAAAAATGGGAGGGGAAACACCATGAGCAAAGGCACTGATCAAGGATGTGTGTGAGAAAATGAAGTCAGCTGATGGACTCTGAATCCAAAGCAAGATCTTGTTCCTTTCCCACTTGGAACCTCTTTTGAGTGCAGCATGATGAGATATTGTTACTCACGCCTTAAAAGAGAAAACTGGGGCTTAAAGAAGTCAAAAAACTTGCTCAAGTCAAAAGTTTATCCTTTTTCACTATACCAAGCTGCCAGTTATAGTTGATCCTTGAACACTGGTTTGAACCGCAGGGTCCTCTTACACACGAAGTTTTTTCCAATCAATAACTGTAAGTGTATTTCCTCTTCCTTATGATTTTCCTAATAACATTTTCTTTTCTCTAGCTTTACTGTAAGAATACAGTAGAGAATACAAATAACATAAATTATGTTAATCGACTGTTTGTTATCAGTAAGGCATCCAGTCAACATTACCTATTAGTAGTTAAGTTTTGGGGGAGTCAAAAGTTGTATCAGATTTTCAACTGGGGGAGGGTAGGCCTTAGCACTAGTCCTTTTTCCTCTTCTATGTTCTATTTTCTGTTCTCAAAAATTCCCACTCATTCTTCTATCTAGGTCAAAAGTCACTTCCTTGGTCAAGGCTTTTCTGACTCCCCAAGGGAGGCTGATGACACCAGAGCAAATCCATGAACGCTTCCCACATTATATTTATGTTTTTATGTCTATCCCCTACTACACTGAAATCATAGAGAACAAGAACAGTTCTATTCATCATGATGATGAAAAAGAGTGGTTTTTACCCTACACTTAGTTCAAAACACTCTACATCTCACCTTCAAATCTCTACCTTTGTTAACCAATGTCACCCCAATAAATTCAATAAAAAAAATTTTTTTAAATCTCTACCTTTGAAGACAACTGTGATTTTAAGACTAATAAAAATAAAAACCTCTTGTCCTGGTCAGTGTGTTCAATGGTTAGAGCAGTGACCCCTGCACCGAAGGGTTTCGGGTTCGATTCCCAGTCAAGGGCACTTACCCCGGTCGCAGGCTCAATCCCCAGCCTGGGTCAGAGCGTATGCAGGAAGCAACCAATCCATGTGTCTCTCACATCGGTGTTTCTCTCCCCCTCCTCCCTCTCTTCCACTCTCTCTAAATATCCTCCTGTGAGGATTTAAAAAAAAAGGAATCCTTCCTTTCCCTTGCTCCATCCTTCTTCCTATAAAAATCTTCCATTTTGTACAACCCCTCGCGCTCCCTTCTAATTGCTAGATGGGATGTTGCCCCATTCATGAGTTATTTAAAGCCAATTAGCTCTTCAAATTTACTTGGTTGAATTTTGCTTTTTAACAAATTAATAAAAACTTTTTTCTTACAAGGAAAAAACTGCTGACTTTTTAGTTCTTACAAGGTCTGTTACACATGTACAAAGATAGTGTACAAGCGTTTGCAAAACCAACAACATGCCAGGAAACAACCAAAAAATCCACCAACGGTGAACTGTTTCAAGAAACTGTTGTACAACCCTGTATCACAATACTGGGAAATCTTTAAAAGAACGTATGTCATGTATATTTTATGTAAAGCTGTCCCTGATATTGTTTGAAAAAACGTAAGGTGCAGAACAATACACACAAAATGATCACACAACTGTCTCAATCTGTGAATGTGTGCAGAGAAGTCAGGAAGGCTGTGGCATCAGGCAGTTAACAGCTGCCAGCCTGAGGAGGAACCCGGTGAGGGATGACAGAGGAACTCCACACGCTTGTTTTCCGCGCATTTCTTTTTTTAAACTGGCACGCACTGTCACCTCAGGACTATAAAAAGTTGTGATCCTGCCCAGTGCGGTGGAGGGGGAAAGGGCGAGCGTGAGAGCAGGAAAAAGGCCTCTTTTTTCCTTGCTGTGTGTGGCCGCCCACAATTTGTGAGCAGCACCTGCTAATTAATCCCACGATGGTTAGTCCCCCTGATTCAAACAGCCCCCCAGTTCAAACTGCAAGACAAGATACGCCACTTTCGAGGCTCCATTCCTGCACCCCCCTCCTCCCTGCTGTTTTTACAACTCAGGGTTAACTTGCACCCAGAAGTCTCTCGTTAGCAGAAAGTTCCCCTCCTCCTCCCCTTCAAACAAGCCTCGGTTGAACTCTTTGTAACTTCGGTTCTAAGAATTTTCACAGGCGTTGGAAAAGTACTGATAAGACACCTGCCAAGGACATCTGCCTGCACTGTCCCCTGAAGAACTAACGAACTGCCACCCGCTCCTGTCTGCTCAATTTCGGCCCAAAAGTCCTCCTCCCTTCCTTATCACTGTTGCCCTTGTATTGATTAGCAATGCACCGGCCCTTTCCCTTTCTTCCCTTCCTTCCCTTCCTTCCCTTCCGGGAAAGTAAAATAAACTTCCTCTCTGCATTGAGCTCTCAGTGGTGAATTCTTTCACAGCCGGTGTCCCCACACCCCCCCCCCAAAAAAAAAACACACAAAAAAAAGAATGAGCAGCAGCATTTTCCTCCGGCGCCGCTTTAAAACAGCGGTTCTCAAACGTTAGGGTGCACAGGAATCACCGGGGGTGGGGAGGGGGCTGTGCTGAGTAAACACATATTCCTGAGCCTCCTCTCCCGATACAGCTGGGAGGTCTGCATGCGGCCCTGAGGTGAGCACTCTGCAAGCAAGCACCCGGGCCTGAGACGCGGGACCCGCAGCTCTGCAAACCGCTACCCCGAACTCCTGACGCACCTCGGGTCCTCCTCCCGCCGCCCTCTCCACCTCCGTGCTCCCAAGTGCCTCCGTACCCCCAAAATCCTGCGCCCAGAGGAACATCGTTAGGCTGTCACTGATGGCGGCGCCGCACCGTCCCTGCACCTCCGCTTTCGTCTTCCCCGGGTGCTCACCTCCGCACCCTCTCCCCGCCAGCCCTTTCCGCCCAGCGCCACGGTCCCAGGCCGCCCACGCCGCCCGCTCTCCCCGCTCGGGGCCCGCGGAACCCGCCGCGCAGCCGCCGCTCCCCACTCCCACCCCCCCTCCCCCGCCCCGGCCTCCCGGCGCCGCCGGAACCCCAAAACCACACCTGAGGGCCCCTCGCGAGTCGCTCCCGCGCTAAGCCCAGAGGATGTCAGTCAAAGGTGCTCAGGCCTCGGCCGCAATTTGAAACCCGGGTGGCGACCAATGAGAGCGCAATTTCCGGTTTCCCATCCACCTCGCGCAGGAGCTTCCGGCGAGGCCTCGGGGAAACCATAGATGGCCCACTGGAGGGCTGGAGAGCTAGAGAGGACGAGTTCTCCCCACCATAGAGTAGACCCTCTTCCGGCGGACAGAGTGGCGAGGCCTAGACCGCGGGGAGCCTGAGGGCTCCGGAGCGAAGCCGCGAGGTCTGGTGCTATTTGCAGACGCGTCTTAGGAGGTCAGAAACCTGGGAGGGGAGAAGCCGAGGGGCATCCTTGCGCTTATCAGAAAAATGCCTCTCCCTCCGCTCCCCAGGATGAGGAATCAGACGACACCGTCTTAAAACTGAGAAGGGTCGGCGCTGATTTGTGTTGGAAGTTGTGGAGACGATTGACACGGTGATGAATCACACTGTTCAGTATAATCACCACCAGCTACATGTGGCCTGAAAGGTGCTTAGTCCAAATGGAGACGTGCACATCACGATTGAAATACACATCAGATTGAAAGTCTTTGTAGGAAAAAATAATGCGAAATATCTCATTGATGAAGTTTAGGTTGATTCCACACCCAAATGATACTTTGGATATGTTGGGTTGAATAAAATATATTTAACTTCACCTGTTTCTTTTTTTTTTTTTTTTAACGTGGCTACTAGAAAATGTTAAATTACACCTGTAGTTTGCGTTATAATTTGTATTAAATGACACTGGTGTGGAATGTAGGCTGGGGCCAGATTGGAGAGGACTTGAAATGCTGCTATGAAAAGTTCCACTTGTTATTCAATAAATAATAGGGAAGAATCAAAGGGTTTTGAGCGGGGTGGTGGGCAGTCAAGTATTATTAATTTGATGCCTCAGCATTCCATACACACAGCCCATTTTAGAACCCATTCTACCACTAGCTCTGGGTAGACGATTAGCCCTGGTGATGTGATTCTTACAGAGAACACTTAATAAGGTAGTCCTTGCTATTGTTTTTAATGTGCACGAGGGGAATAAATCTAGGGGTAACGTTACTCCCTTAGCCCAGAATTAACCCGATATCGCCAGCTTTCTAAATTCTCTACATCTCCCTCCATTCTAGTCAATTAAGTTAAGCCTTATATACAGGATGGTGGCTATAGTTTTAATATTGTATCGCAGAGGAATTAGGAAACCGCTAACAAAAACCCTTGCTTGACCCACTCTGAGCCCCCCGGTGGGTAATTCCCAACGCCAGCCCTTTTGCGGAGGGCGGTGCTCAGGGGATGATGGCTGTGCACGAGACCAGCCTTCCGATGCCAAGATCAATAACATCTCCCCGTCGGGCATGTTCGGCTTTCCAGTCTCTCGGGCTTAAGAAGGCTTCTGACCCCAAGGTTTTCTTCGCGTAAAATTACTTACAATACAATCTCCCTATCAGTGTCCTATCTCCCGCTTTATCTTACACAGCTCGACCCGACAGCTTCAGAACAGCGTATGTGTATTCTCTTCGGCTCATTGATTTTTTTTCTGTTAGCGGGAAGGTTTGAGAACTGGTATTCACCCCGACTATCAATAGATGATCAATAGTATAATAGACCAGACTTCACTGCGACGCTTCAAACGTAGTCTACCTCGCCGTTCTCTCAATCCTGGACCTATCACAGAGAGTACAGATCGAAGAAGCCTGCCTTACCTAATGGTGGTTATTGAGGACACAAATATGTCGTCGTTCTGAATGAGCGGGTAATGCTGGAGAAAGGCGCAGGATTTTTTTAGGTCTTAAGTTTTTCTTTGGCGCATGAATCATCCAGCTTTCGCGTGTTTAAAAGCGTCACCAAGCGCAGGCGGAAGGACGTGATTACACAAGAGTCCTGACTTTTTGTAAGGGTTTGCAAAAGCTTCAGCTCCACGTGAGGGCCCGGATAGCTCAGTCGGTAGAGCATCAGACTTTTAATCTGAGGGTCCAGGGTTCAAGTCCCTGTTCGGGCGTTATGTTTTTCGCTCTTTTTTTTCCCCCCCCTTTCTTGTTTTGAACGGGCGCATTGCGTTAACTGGTTGTTTTTTTGTCCTTTCTCGATTATTAGTAATCTGAAAAAACAAATTCCTTTTCGCTGCGAAACTACTGCGCAAAACCTCCGTACTCACCAAGAAATGAAGTAATTGCGCATGGTCATTTTTCCCCTGAGAACATCTATCATAGTCTGAAATCATTGAAAAACAAAGCGAATTCCACTTAAAATATAAATACACTTCAGCATTGACATTAAAATGACACGCCCGAACAGGGACTTGAACCCTGGACCCTCAGATTAAAAGTCTGATGCTCTACCGACTGAGCTATCCGGGCGCTCTTGGAAAGAACCTGCTCTTCTCTTTACTTGATATAATTCTAATAAATTGCTTCTCCAAAAAGTTAAATTTAGGTATTAATTAGTTTTAAAGTATCTTTTTGAAGAAAATTTTTTTTTAACTCTCTTTTCTAATTTTCTACATTTAAAGCATGTGTTCATCAAGCTCTTTCATATTTGATAAATTGTCACTATCTACTGGATTCTCTAAAACTCAATGCTACTAAATTACAGAAAAATGGGCAACCAAGCTGAACACCACTTTCCTGGGATTAAGACAGAACCTCTTAATTTTATTCTGCTGAACCAGATTACAGTATCTTTCCCTTTAATGAAAAATACATTTCCCTTTACTAGATGACGCAGCTGTTAGGTAAGCATCCCTGAGCACGAACGACGCATTTGATTCAGGAGGAGAGGGGCTAATAGAGAAGGGACTGCGGAAATGTGGGCCTGAATTTACATTGAGACAAAGGGAGCTTTAGAACTTTAATTCAAATTTTGATTAATTTTTGTCTTTCCCCCTTTTCCAGACAAGTTACAGTTTTCAAGTCAGACTCACAACATGAGTCCGTCTAAAGCAGTGTAAGTGTGCACCAGGGGAAGAAGCCATATACAGTACTGAGAATAATAGTTTCCAGTTTAGCCCAGTTTTTCCTACAATCAGTTTTATCAACCCTGACGCACAGGGTGTGGAACACAAGATTATGAAATTCCAAAGACTGATAAGGGAATTCATTTTTGTTTCTGGGAACTTGAGGCAGCTGAACACAATGAACAGCAAAATAGCTCAGCCTCAGTTGGAGCAATTTCTTTCCTACAATTGTCTGGTTCTTTTAGAATAAAGACCAACAAATGGTGTGATCCTGAATGGGCCTGGGTTTCCGCATTTATGAAATGAGGGCAATTGATTAGCTGATCTGTAAGAAGCCTTCTAAATCTCACAATTTACCACTGTTACTCTCCCCACTGTGAATAAGATTAGAAGGGAAAGACTCAAAATGCAAAGGAAAGGGATGATTTACTTGAACCAACATTTCTTGATCATCTCTTATTGCTTAGGCTCCCGGCTAGCTCTAGAGTCAGAGATAAGTAACACAGATCCTACTCACAGTCTAGGAAAGAAGGCAGACATTTAAGCAAACAATTTTAATAAAGTTATAGATGCAGTAACAAGAATTCAAGTACAAGAGTGGCAGGAGATGAGAATGGACTGAAAGGCAGGGGTTATATAATGAGGGTGGAGGTCCCTGAATTTTTAGCAAAGTAAACACATGATCAGAGATGTGTACAAAAGACATTGTAATGAGCCAGGCAGATATTTATTTACTCATTCAGACATTTCTTAAGCACCCACTGTATTAGATAAGGAAAAACTTTTTGCTCTCTTTTTATGAGGAAGATGCATTATACCTAACTTTTTAAAAATTTTAATTGTTTTTTATTTTTCAATCACAGTTAACATACAATATTATATTAGTCTCAGGTGTACACTACCTAATTTTTTTTAAGGCAGATAGTTAAAGAAGCCTTCATGTGTTTTTTTTTTCCTGCCCCATGGCTTTATTGTCCCATTCTGGATGGATAATAAAACGGCTGTTTAAAATCAAATAGACTGAATGAGATTAATCCATCAAGTTGCTTATTGAGCACCTACAATTTCCCCAGCAGTGAGCTAGGCACAGTGGGAGGGGAAATGGTAAGTCTAGAAGGAAAGTGGGGCATGCAAGTTCTGTTTCAAGCGGGGGGGGGGGGGGGGGGGGCTGTGAATAAATTAACCTGGCTGGAATGGAGGGAGGTAAAAGAGAGGTGCTACATTGGAGACAGCTGACAGGAGAATAATTTTATCGAATGGGCAACAGTTAAATTTGAAAGTTTGGTTTGTTAACGTTGCAAAGTCCCATCTGAGGTCACATGAACCGAATCAGCTTTTTCTATGCTGCATTGCAAACCACACCAGGAATGCTATCCTGCACCGTATTTAGCATGAAATCATAAGTGTTTCCCTCAAGCTTCACTTCACATAGACTGTTGAACATAATTCACCCAGTAGAGGTCAGTCTAAACTGACAGATTCTATATTTGAGGCCTGCCTCCCTCCCTCCACCCTCCCTTCCTTCCTTCCGTTGAAAATATTACAGGTGCCCCCTTTAACCCCCTCCCCACCTTCCACCCAGCCCCTGCCCCACCCAGGCCTAAACCAGATTATTATCTGTGTTCATGGCCTATACAGACACACATACATGTCTTTGTTTCATCTCTTTCAGCCCTCCCCACTCTCCTCCCCTCTGTCAGTCTTTCTATGTATCCATGCCTCTGGACCTATTTTGTTCATTAGATTCCACATATAAGTGAGATCCTGTGACATTTGTCTTTCTCTGACTGGTTTATTTCACTTAGCATACTAAGCTCCAGGTCCCTCCATGCTGGCGCAAAGGGTAAGAGATCCTTCTTTTTTACAGCCCCATAGTATTCCATTGTGCAAATGTACCACAGCTTCTCTTACCCACTCATCTACTGACGGGCACTTGGCTGTTTCCAGGTCTTAGCTATTGTAAATTGTGCTGCTATGAACATAGGGGTGCATACATTCTTTCTGATTGGTGTTTGGGGATTCTAAGGATATATTCCCAGAAGTGGGATCTCTGGGTCAAATGGCAGTTCCATTTTTAGGTTTTGAGGAAACTCCATACCCTTTTCCACAGTGGCTGCACCAGACTGCATTCCCACCAGCAGTGCACGAGGGTTCCCCTTTCTCCACATCCTCATTAGCACTTGTTTGTTGACTGACTTATTTTTTAAATATGGAACGCTTCACGAATTTGCACGTCCTCTTTGCGCAGGGGCCATGATAATCTTCTGTGTATCGTTCCAATTTTTAGTATATGTGCTGCTGAAGCGAGCACTGTTGATTTATTGATGGTAACCATGCTAGCAGGTGTGAGGTGATACCTCATTATAGGGGGTTCCCTTTTCGTTTTGTTGATGGTTTCTTTTGCTGGGCAGAAGCTTTTTAGTTTGATGTAGTCCCATTTGTTTACTTTTTCCTTTGTCTCCCTTGCCCTGGGAGACATATCTGCGAAAATACTGCTATGTGAGATGTCTGAGATTTTATTGCCTATGTTTTCTTCTAAGATTTTTATGGTTTTTTCAACTTACATTTAAGTCTTTTATCCATTTTTAGTTTATTCTTGTGTATGGTGTAAGTTGGTGAGCTAGTTTCATTTTTTTTCTTTTTTTTGCATGTACCTGTCCAATTTTCCCAACACTATGTATTGAAGAGACTGTCTTTACTCCATTGTATAC